AAGGTCCCATGTCATGCTTTTCCGGTTATTACCCGTCCCCTTGTGTGTTATGAAGGTTTTTCTGCATGTAAACGGTCTGCAGAGTCAAAACCCTCAAAGTACACCCTGTAGCGAGTAAAACTCTAACACAGAAAATACCTCCCCAAAAAGCCTCGTTGGAGATTTCTACTTTTCCATTGTATACTTCCCGGTTACTCTGACGTGGGGATACCCAGAGGCCGCACCCTCTGCCAGCATTTCACGAAACAAAGCTTCCCAAACATTTCAGCGTGTACAGCGTAGGGCACTGAAGAAAGATTATGTTCCTATACTTTGTTTGGAACAGCAGGAGATTCGGGTACACAAACTGTAAGTATTCATTGTTGTTTGTGTATTTATGATGTTTAAAACAAACAAGGTATCTACCACGAATGTTTAAATGGGTAAACGTTTTTCGGGCTTACTAAGTTGGGATCGCGGAGAAATGCTCTCCGCAGACCCATGCTCACAGCGTTATAAACCTTTTTCTTACTAAATATCAAGCCAAACTTATTGTTTTTACTTCGGCTGTGAGTGTTTGTGTGTGCTCAGGATGAGTTTCGCTTGTTCTTGCTGTATCGGCGACACGGAAGCCTGTCTGCTCCTCGCAGCAGATCAAAGCAGCTGCGAGCAGCAACGAGCCTCAACGTCCCGACCAATCAGAGCACACTGGGCTCACAGGGAGGTGGGGGGCAGGAGCTCCAACAAGCCGTTTAGGACAGAGAGTGAATACCGGGGAATACACATACTTTACAGAGGTGCTGTATGAGAAACCAATGTGAGTTTGGAAAATTGCACAGTATAAATCTATTTTAGTATAGCTCCACAATGGAATTATGATCAGTAGAAATTACCATGACATGGGACCTTTAAACATTTTTTTCTTAATGTTCTAAAATAGTTTGGGCCCCTGTCAGTCACAGGCCCTTAGAATCGTTGGTAATGAGTGTCAGCAAAGTAAAACACAACAACAAGCAGAGAGGTCTCAGTAGTAAGAAGGACATTTTCACAGAATGCTTAAAAGGGGGTCCTATAAACTTTACCCCAACAGTGATCCAATTACGATCACAATTGATCTGAAAGTAGCAATAATCTATTTTTACAGTGTACAAACCAACCTGATCTTCACAATAATGCTCTAGGTTTAAAATCTAAATTACACCCCAAAGAATGATTTGAAGTCACTTTGAAGAATGTCCTTGGTTGAAAGGTAAAGTCACAGATCAATCAATTCACATGTTTCAGAAATGACCAATGATCATGTGTTACATCATTCTCTTGCTTTGGTTCGATACTAAAGTGCACCTTTAACAAAGTGTGACATCACCTGCTCACATGCAGCCACACGGTCCATCACTGTGCAGGAGAGATGCTGAATATACAGGGACAGGTAAAGCAGGCCATGTGTATTGAATGTGGCTTTGTGTGCAATTGCAAATTGATCAGCTTAGAATTATTAAAAGTTATTATGACAATCATGTGTACCAGTCACAAAGCACTTTATAAATAGTGAATAATGCTTGTTCATTTCAGGATTATTATTAAGAACACATGGGGAGGGACACAAAGCTTTCACTTGCTGCACCTAATGACCCAAGACTAAATGATAAAACACAGGCAATCAAAACAAATCCTTCAACAATAAATAAATACAATAACTCAGACCAGCAAGCAGCAGTACAATCTTCACAATTCTTCATTAAAGTGGAACTCCACCCGAGTTAAGGTTACAATGTTACCGTGTTAAAGTCCTTCCGTTCTCCTTGGTTTTGAAATCTGAAACAACAGAAAATGAACCTTCTAACATCAACGACACATTCCTGAGTCTTTATAAACATCTGCACTGTAAGAAATAAAGTGCTAAAACGGACGCAGTTAAGCTGCTACAAGTCTTAACTGTTTAAAGGACTATTGCACTTCAGTCAGCGTTCCCTCCTCTGTCGGGACGTTTCAGTGTGTGGTACAGGTCAGGAGAATACACGGATCATTTTGTATCAGGGAAGACCATTTGAAGATGTTATGGGTTTTTCATCTTGGCAACTTCAAAAAACCGGATGAAAGTGGAAGATATTACAGACATTTTTACTATAGGGGTTTTCATTGCACCTGCTCTTATTATAATGTGCCTTTTTGTCAGCCCTGAGGTATGGAAGAGGATTAGGGCCACATGAAAAAATGTGGGGAAAGAATTCTGACTTTAATCTCAGAATTCGAACCTTTCTCAGAACGTTATCATGTGGCCCCAATCCTCTTCCGTACTGAGGTAAATCCATTCCTTAAACAAAATAATTTGCTTTATATATAAGCTTAGTGTGTTGGTGGACATCTGATCATGACATGACAGGAATAAACTCCAAAAACCGGTGGTGCTGAAGTATAATTTCTTCTTCCTGGCATCACTTTTATCATTGTGACATTTCTGGATAAGTATTATAAAACCTATGTTGTAAGGTTTTTTTTGTGCTGTCTCATTTTAAATCGCTCAATCTGTCATTGTACTGTTTAAACCAGCCATTAAACCAGTTTGCGGCAAAGAAAACAAACGTGTCCTAGAGACGTTAGGATCCAGTGAACCTCTACAGTGTGTGGAAGCAAAACGCACTAAACGCCATGCTCTGCAAACGAGGACCAACATGTAACACGTGAAAAGATTCAGACCCGAACTAATCACACGCATAATAAGATTAAAGCACAATCACTTCTTGCCAGTGTTTGCATATTGTACTGTACACAGAATAATGGCGCATTCGGCTGGTCGTTGTAAACTGGCAAACTTATATATTGTATATTTACGCATCACAAGACAGACTATGTACAAGGTGAAAGCATTCAGGATGAAAAGAAAAAGTAAGGACCAATGAAATCTGAGGTAGCAAATTCACTAGGAAACACTAGTCACTTTTTTTTCTGTATGCATGTGCTTTGTTGTTTAGAAATGAAAGCTGGCCAGTGTTATGTCTTCATATTTTCACAAGTTGTCTGTTTCACAATAATGTCACAACTCATTGAGTTAAATTAGTGTTTTGCTTGTTTAACTATTAATAGTTAGCTGTTTTCGGTGCACTGTCCTCGTGGTAAACCTCTAAGTTTGCCAGTTTACCTGTTAATGGCCTGAGCATGCCATAGGTTCTTCACTCTCTAGCAAATCTGTACAATGTGTGTGTTCGGGCAGCTGATATGTTCATTGAAAAAAATTCATGGCTTTTAACCCCTCCGTTCCCACCCCTGAGGTGCAAACCAGCCAATCCAGTGCGCTCTTGGGAAGAGGGAAGCGTTAGCTCCGCCTCCTGGGGCAGGACGTCAGAGGGGAGGAACCAATGACAGAACGAGACAGCAGGTTTCCTGTTAGGCCAGCTAACACTACAGTTTACTAACCAGTTTGTGAGTTTATCGGAAGCGCCACGGACATATAGAGTAGAATAATATCAATAGGATTTTCAGTGCAAGACGTAAATGGCTACTTGTTTCGTCGTTATTCTGTCCGTTGATGTCTTGTTCTTGTCAGTCATCCAACATAGGACACAGCAGTAAAGGGATTCTTCTACAGGATGTGATCTACAGGGTAGCAGTCACTCGTGTGTGTGAAGTGTCCTCCTTCAGCAGAGGTCCAGACCGGTTCAGTCCGGTTTGACTGTGTTCATTATGAGGCAGAGCTCCTCTCTGCTCTGTTTGTGGTTTTGGTTAAAGGTTGTAATGGAGTTCAGAAGAAAGGGTGAGGGTGACCTGTGGGAGAGAGAGACAGAGAGGCCTTACCCACCCTCGCCTGGTTCTGAGCAAGAGGTCAGAGGTGAAACATCAGTGGTAGATACAGTAGCTGGGTTTTGGTGGTAGTACAGTAGGTGCCTTTTCATCTCCCAACAGGAGGGACTGCAGGATAAAAACATCACCCCTCCTATCTCTGTGTCCCCCCCTCCATCCCACTCTCCCTCTCCCTTAGCTCCCCCCCGGGTCAGAGCCGTGTCTCTGTGTTGTCCGTGAGTCCAGAGGTGTCTGTGATTCCTGGAGGGACAGCCTCCTTTGGGTTTCAGAATCGAGGGATGATACCTGTGTTCCAGCTGCCCCCAAACACACCCCTAAACTGAAGTCTAACCCTAAGCTGGACCCCGCTGCTGACCCACTCTCTATATCTACCCTCAAACCTGGGCCCAGTCCCAGCTCAAGGCTGTCCAGTCCGGAGGGGGCGAGCTGGCCCTGCTCAGTGATGAGGGGGGGGTCCTGGGGCTGCAGGGAGTCCCGGCCCGGAAACCCTTCAAATTCCTGGGAATCCAAGATCTGCAAGAACAGTGAACTCAGGTCAATGTGACGAGTTACTTATTTTTCTTATTACTCTCACAGGTCACATTGCGTCACTGTTGTGTTGTGAAAAGCAACCCTAATTGCTGTGATGCATCCTAATGATGTTTAATATGCAAATAGAAATTATCTAAGTATGTACAACATTTGATATAATGAATGTAAATACAGAATATAAGCCAAATGATACAATGATACAAAATGATTGTTATATAATAACCATTATAGAAACTCAGCATGTAGGCTATATTTGATATGCTGCAAGCTTAACCCTAATGCTTATGATTATAAGCTACTGAAACCATATTAAAATCAAATCTGCACTCCACAGGATGTCAAGTGTGCATGTATGAAACCATCTGCTCCACCTGTGAGAAGGAGGCCAGGTCCTCTGTCTCGAGAGGAGTAACAGGCTCCACCAGCCTCTCTCCTGGACATGGTGCTGGGCCGGGACCTGGGCAGGGGGAGACCTGCGAGAGGGAACACCTCATTACTCCTTCTCTCAATAAAGCCTGAGTCAGTGTCTGATCATTATAAGAACATTTATTCCGTCCTGACTCCTGTTGTGTGAATTAGTCTTCAAACAAAGATTCTTGTTTGTCCACTGTGACAACAATCATCGTACTTTTACGTACATACTCGTGTGTGTGTGTGTGTGTGTGTGTGTGTGTGTGTGTGTGTGTGTGTGTGTGTGTGTGTGTGTGTGTGTGTGTGTGTGTGTGTGTGTGTGTGTGTGTGTGTGTGTGTGTGTGTGCGTGTGCATGTATTACCTGAGGTGGTGATGAGATGGCGCTGTAGGCGGGGGGGACCAGGGCCATCTGTCTCTGCAGCAGCTGCATGATCGCTCCTATGTCCGTTGACATGCGACTCTCCAACCTGCACACATTATGCAATTGGTGAACATATTTTGTAAACTAGTTCTTTTAATACAGTTTATTAATGTTATTGAATACATTTTAAGTGCACATGTTATCAATGACATTTAGATTAAGAGCTATCGGATGTAATCGAAAATGTCAATGTAATAGATGCTGGTAAACAGCTTGTAGGTCTGAATCATAGCGACTTAGAGTCCCAGATCTCATCAGTGAAGTTAGTGTGTGTTTGAACATCCAAGGCTGCTGTAAAATATGTAGAAACATATTGTTAAAAAGGTTATTGCAGTAACTTTCCTTTCAAAGCGCCTAACTTCTCTAAACTCAGTTTTTCTTATATTACATTTCTCTTTGCACCCTGTGGTCATTATCTTACTTTTGGAGCCGTTACAATACAGTTTCCTCACAATATTGGCATTATGGTCACGTAGTCACAGTGGAGACATACATAATTCAGCTACACACAGGAGGTGAACGTTTTCGCATTAAATCTAGCATATATAAGGCTTCTATAAAGCTAATTAGGACTTAGATCTCTTGGTTATCTTTCTAAACTCCAGCAGAGACTTCCTCATACAGTATGTGCAGATATTTTAAGTACAGGGGAACATCTGTTCTCCCACACACCTCTACTCCCCTCACATACACCTTCAGCTAGCTGACACATACTACCCATCCCTTAAAACTCTGAGCAATCAGCTGGAGGCGCCGCCAGCTTCCGAGCTAAAGACCAGCACAGAGACAGCCTGTGCTGCAACGAGACCAGACAAAGGAACATCTTCTAGGATGAGGACCTTCTATTTTTTAACTGCGTTGGAGGAGAGACACTTCCTACATAGACGGCAGGGTTTTTAGCAGGGACATCAATATATGGTAGAAGGGTGGACACAAAGGATAACAGCAGCCAACACCTGAATGCACACAAACTAGAACACACACACACACACACACACACACACACACACACACACACACACACACACACACACACACACACACACACACACACACACACACACACTTCGACATTCAGCCCGTCCCACCTGTTGAGCTGTTTCTGCAGCATTTCCAAGCGTGTGTCCACCTGGTTGCGTTGCTGTCGGTTCAGGCTGTGCAGCGGCGTGTTGAGGTTCGGGGGGGAGGCCAGGCTGCAGCTGGGAACCTCCTGGTACTGCCCGCCCCCCCGACTCTCCCCCCAGAAACTAAAGATGTGGGACACACCTGAGAAGGCACCTGTGTGGAGAAGAAGGAGTGCAGGGAGTTTTTGTCAATCGTTGGGTAGGCCTTACCTCAGAATTCAAAACATCTCTGTCCTGTTTTACCTGACAGGGCGTTGCAGGTGTTCCCTGTCTTGGGCTCTCCATCACCCTCCGTGTTCTCATTAAAGTTCAGGGGCGTGGCCTGAGCCTGAGGAGTCTCCATCATTACGGACGGTGGGACGAGTCTGTTCATATTTGGCTCCTCCCCCTAACAGGTGTAGAGCAAAGACATTTACGGCCATTTTTATTTAATCATACCAATGGCAGTGACAAAAGTAGACTTTAGATGTAGACAAGATGAACATTTTAGTTTTACCTCGTCACCACTGGAGTGTGAGGACACTGAGCTTCGATGTGCCTGCCATTGTCGCTTGGGTGCCTCTTCCTGTTTTGGACTTTTGGTTGAGTCCCTCTGTCTTCGTCTTACAGACTTTTGGGACTTTTTACTTTCTCCAGCATCTGCATCATCTTATTAAAGGTGTGTAAGAAAAGAGGTACATTGATGAGTCCAGCTAGATCGATAATCACTTTTAAAGGATGACAGCCATTGACAAACCTTATTTTTCAATCAGAATTACTGAGGTCATATTTGATGTTTTGTACCTCAGAAAAAAGTGGAGTGAAGCTGTTTAAGGAAGAGTTACCTTTTTCTGTACGTCTTCGAAAGGAAAGCTTGCGTCTGCGTAATTTGTTGAATCCTCCACTGTTGGAGTCATCACTGCTCGGAGAGCCTGGGATCATGTTGGTCTGAAATGAGAACCAGAAACATTGTTGGGATGCATTTTGTAATACAAGCAAAATCATGGATTATTTATTAAAGGGAAAGGAAAGTCTTTGTTTGGATACTTAAAACAACACAGAGAACCATCATTCATTACACAGCTTGTTTATCCATAGAGCTTAAGCAATGGCACAATAATTAAAATGCTCGTAATATACCCAAAGTATTCAGGGTGTCTGATTTAGTCACATTTCTTGTTCTTCGGTGAGGTTGTAAACTTACATCTCTGAGGTTGAAGGTGATTTCCAAGTTGTTCCAGAAGTTGTCTGCGAACTCAGGGTACATGTCCAGCACCTCCTGAACGTCTTCTCTGAAGATTTTGTGAAGGTCGCAGTAGGTCAGAGCCCGCACATCAGCGTTGGATTTACCGGGTCGGGAATACAGGTTGATTGGTTCGCCGAAGATATCATTCTTCCCTGGGAGAGGTGAAAACAAACACAACCTTTTATGGTGTCATCTAATGTATGATATAACCTTACCTATTTTGTCAGTGTCTTTGTTGATTTATTGTTTTTGTTTATGGTGGCAAACAAGTTCATCTCATCTTAAGAGCAACAAACTAAGTTCAACAGCAGATGGCGCCTCTAGCTAATGCATTTTTGTTTAAGTTGTTACAAACAAGCCAATGACTTGCGCCCGTAAAGAGTCAAGACTTAGAAAGGAATCTTGAGAAACATATTTGAACTTAAACCAAAAAGTTGTTTTGAAGATGTCTACAAATTTTGTTCAAAGTCAAACTTTAGAAAGTACCCTAAAGAACAGAGACAAACGTTTAGTTTAGATTCAGGTTTAGTTTCAGGTTATTTATTTAAAGCAAAGACTGAGGCATTTCTATCTGAACTACTCTTGCTTGTTCACATTGAAGTAGCCATGAGCCGGCCTGCAAAGGATTGAACTTACAGTCTACAATGGAAATAAAATGTTTAACCAAAACAATATATTTCCAAATATTGCCATGTCCTTGCTTCATACTTACTAATAGCCTAAAAGTGAAAGGAGGCTACACTCGGTGGTAAAATAATAATTAAACAGCTTTATATACATGTAAACAATGTATTGTACCTAAGATGGCTACCACCACGTCTCCCCTCATTATCTCTATGGATCCCCTGGATATGAAGTAGAGGGCAGTGAGGACGTCCCCAGCGTGGACCAGCGTGTCACCCGGGGGTGCGTGGGTGGTCTTGAACTTCATGGCCAGCGCCCTGAGACAGCCCTTGGTGGAGCCTTTAAAAGCTTTACAGTTCTGCAGCAGCGTTCGGTTCAGATGGAGGCAAATATCCGCCTGGAGACACTCTGGGAAACCTTTCAGCACCTGGGGAGAGGGAGCGAGGGAGCAAGGAAGCAGAGGGAGGAGACAGGGGAAAGGAAGGTGTGAGAGAGGAGTAGGTGAGGACAGATGGAGAAGGAAGACAGAAGGAAATACAAATAGGAGGTATAAGATACAGGTGGGGGAAAAGAGTTTGAAAACAAAGAGGGGAGGGGGGAAGGAAAGGAGAAAGAGGGGGGATAAAGTAAGCGGATGAATGGATAGCGAAAGGTTACATCAGAATTGATACATGCTATTAGTAGCGATTGACTTTCCAAGTTTAGAACATGGAGCTAATGTCAAATAAATGTCACGGATTATGGAGGCTTTAAAAGGAATAATAAAAAAGTGTTGTTACAATTTTAATTTTGATACCAGTCACCCTTACCGGTAACATTCATGGGACATTAGCTTTATCAGCCTGTCATTACACCATTCCACACATGACACAACTCAATTGGCACATTCAAGTCATGGTTATTAAGCATCGTTCAATATTTTATGATTTCAACCATTCAGAGGAAGACTTATTTCTGTTCCTAAAGGGCCTTTGTAGTGATATTTAGTCAGAGGGTCAGCAGTCCCATAGAGTCAGGGCCGTGGGAAGTAGGGGTGCTGAGGGTGCTGCAGCACCCCCTGGTGGAGGACAGGGGATCTGCACTTCCACAAGATTAAATGCAAATATAATACAAAAAAAAACGAATTTTCAGACTTGATGTGACAACATTCATAATTAAGTAAAGATAACACCCTTTTCACCCCGGTTACATTTTCCATTTGCCCTATACGATGGGCGCTGTAAGTGATGAAAGTGGGGGATGTTGGCTTAGCAGGCGCCCGCAGCTCACAGCCAAAGTGAGAGAGATAGAGAGAGGGGATACCGCGGTACCGGCGGGGATTGTTGTTAGCTTCTGCTGCGCTAACGGATATAAGAAGCTGTTTCTACAATAATGTGGAGGGAGAGTCCTCTCCTGTCAGACTGAGAGGCTCAGTGAGGTAAAGGACTCTGAGGGCTTAGATAGTTCACTTTAGTCGAAGTTATCTCAGTGGGTCTCAAACGTTTTGATCACAATTTATGTAAACAAATATTTCCAAGGCACACCTTTATAATTATTAGGATAAATAAAAACAGGTTTGAAATCATTGCAATGTATACTATAGGACAGTAAACCAAAAATATCGTTTAAAACTGGAGAGATTTTAAAATATACATAAATAAATAAATGTTAACTGGTAAAATAAGATATGAATGAACAACACAAATAAAATAAGTTACATGTATTTGTTATTGGCTATGGTAGGTTATTGGAAATGTTCACATACCTACTTATTTGATTAATAAAATGCAAACCGATCTTTTTCATATGGGTGTTTAGAGTTGTACCCCCTAGATCAGTCTCTAATTGGGCGCTCAAAGTGCACCAGATTGAAGCATTTTACTTTAAAATGATAAAAAATCTTCCCGGGGTGGTCCCCCGACCCCCCTAGAGGATGTGAAGTCCACCCCCCAAATTAAAACATGTTATAATATATAATAAATTTGAAGCCTTGTGTTATATAAGCTGTCCACCATGTCAATATATTTCTCTTTTTGCAGTGTATTGGTCTTTTGTAGAGGTTTTTCATTGCCAGCTAAAATCTTGCCTAGCAGCACATTGGTCAGAACCAGCCCTGGTGTCATCCCCACAGCACCCCCCATTTGAAACATGTTCCCACAGCTATGCATAGAGTGTAATTAATATGAAGAATTGGTACATTTTGTATGTGTTCACTGCAAGCAAGGGAAGTCCCGGCGCTTTTAAGAAGCAGGCTATGGGCTTGTTACTCTCTGGCTTGCTGCAGCGAACAGAGCCCTAGCTTAAACACACACCCTTCATTTCTTTTTTTTACCATTTATCTTTTTTTGTTATCTATCCCTAATTTCAGCCTTCACTGGGCTCCATCTTCATCTCTTTGTAAGACCATTTTCATTTCCTACTTTCAACATTCGAGTCTTTTGGAACGGGCCTCATTGCTTCCAAATATACACACCTTTTGAATGTTTCAATGCCGGGTGGAGTGGTTTTGAAAATGAATCCACTATTACTCCTGTTCACGGTAATCATTTGTGGGGTGCCCCAAAATGTGCTGAAGTCAGATTATTTGAGGCAGGACACATCAGGTGTTCTCATTGCTGGTCTCCTGTTGCATTTAGCCGATGCTGAACTGCTGCCTTCTGAGGATACAGTGTTATTGCTTTTGTAAATGTTTGCTGTCATGATATTGTATTGTGGTTCTTGTCAAAGCTTCAGTTTTTTTACCATGAAAAAGTAAGGTTGGACACTTAAACTAAAGCTGCAACAATATACACACAGGTGTTTGTATATCTGTTATTGAAAAATGTAAATTGTCTTGCAATAGATGCTGCATCAAAAACAACATCTATTAATTGATTCTTAATCATTAATTGAAGTTTCAAATGCAACAGAGAACAGCCTACTCACCCAACACATATATTTTTTGTTTTTTTTAAGAAAAAGCCCAAACTTCAAGGTTACCAAAAATAATAAGAGCTTTGATCCAGATTTTGCCATACACTTTCAAACATTAAATTACATTTGAGACTGTGGCTCGGCTTCTGTGGACAAAGTCAATAACACAATACACATTTTATTATTTTATAAATACTATGTTTCAGTGTCCTGCTAATCCAAATGCTAAAGAAACAATATATTTATTTATATTACACTACTTTAACGCGTTTAGTTTCTAATCACAGCTGCATTTATATTCCCTCCATTCCATGAAGAAAGTATTTTGCAGCTGATTGAGTCAGTATAGAGAGAGAGAGAGAGAGAGAGAGAGAGAGAGAGAGAGAGAGAGAGAGAGAGAGAGCGTTTACTCCAAGTTAACAATGTGGTGCTGATTATGCTCCAATGGGCTATTTTTAAAAGACTCTGGAAAAGCTTCCCCGATGTAATGAGCAGAGATATTTTTAGTAAAGTGTACTTTTTTCAAGCTGAGGCTGTGAAGCAGTGAAAAGATAATAAACGTCACATTTACTGACTCATGCACTGCATAAAATGCTTGCATCGGCCGATCTCAAGTGTGAGACATGTTTATGCTAATCTGCATCTGTGGTTGCATGCATGTCACTTCTGAGCCTTCATCCCACAGGACAGAGAAACAGAGGATGTGACTTGTGTGTGTGTGTATTTGTGTGAATTAGCAGGTGTGACTCACTGTGTGTTTCTCTGTGAGTCTCAACCTGTATGTGAAAACAGTGTGTCGCGTTCATGCATGTGACAACCCGATGCATGCATGTTGCAAACACTTTAACCTGTTTATTTGCACGTTAGCCCATGTGTGTGTTAGTATTACTTATAATACTCACATCTTTCCTATTCTCTCTGATGGTGTTGGACCATGCATCATGAGACAAAGGCTTCACATCCTAATAACGTACAACGCAGGCTCAAAACACTCCTCTAGCCTTTTTGTTGGTGTGTATTCATGCCCAACACTCATCATGTATAGTAACACACACAGGATTTGGGTGCATGAGGACCAGAACTCACAGCATTCATGTCGATGCCGTTGGTGTAGGACCAGGCGTGCTGGAAGTACTCCTCCAGCCTCTGCCGGAGCGGGTTGGGGATCTGGTGGAAGCGGATAAACTCCCTGACTCGCAGCATCTGGGTGTGGTAGCGGGCCGTTCCCGAGTACAGCCGCTGGATGATGGCTGACACGTTCCCAAAGATGCTGGCGTACATCAGGGCTGGAAGCGGGAGACAGGGAGAGGGAGGAAGTGTGAGGAAGTGTGAGGAAGGAGGAAGTAGGTAGGGAGGGAGAGAATAACATATACATGAACTGAGAGTAAAGGGACACACTGACACTTCATACACTGACATGACCTGACATATTTCTGGCTCTTCATCTGAGGAGAAATATATGATTAAGCTTGACACCATTGGGTGATATGTTTAATAAACACCTGGATCCTTGAAGACTCAGTGAAGCTGTAGTCTTTTTTTGTTTTTGCGTGTCACCAAAGGTGAATTGGAGGTTTGGCTCAAAAACTACCTATGGGTAGCTGCACTGTTATTTCTGTATTTGTATACATCAGTTAAGACACTTGGACTGACTTTGAATATTTTATATATTTCCTAGATCATGTTCATTCTATCGAAACGTAATATGTACTGTTTGGTTTGAAATCTCAGAAATAGTGCTTTTTAAGGAATTTCGATTGTTCTCCCCTTTTTAAAGTGTCTGAGGCTGTAAGGTAGTGCCGTCGTCTTTCAATCAGAAGGTTGTGGGTTGTATGCTATGCTCTTTATAAATGGGTTGTGAATTGGTGAATGATGACTTTTAGAATGTAAAGTGCTTTGAGAAGTTGTAAAGAATGGATAAAGCATTATATAAAGTACACTTCATTAACCATTCATCATTTAAAATGTATCTTAAATAAATACTTTTTTACCGTGAACCTAACCTTTAGTCTAGGCTTGGAAAATATGTAAGGCTTAATAGCCAAGTTTGAATTATAATCTATTCTGCAAGTACAGTTACAACCAAAAATGCTCACGACAACGTGACTATACATTACTGAACAGTATATATTCACAGATGTACATGTCTCACACACGTCTGAATCTTAACAGATATTGTTTGAGAACTGAGTGAACCGACACAGCAGGAGTTTGACTGATCCAAAAGGCTTTTGTCTGTAGAGGACAGAGTGCCTCCTGTCGTATCCTTCATGAGTCTCCCTGTTTTGTCCTGTTGTCAAGTTGTATCCTGCTCACCTCCCAACCTCTGTCAGCTCCCATCACTGTCCACATCACCCAGTTTGTCTGCAGTCTGTGTGACATTTAACAACGTGTATGTCACAAGCAACACAATTGTTCTCTGAATCTGAGTTCAAAGAACTTGTATGATGCTCATTGCAATTTCATAGTACACTGAGATTCCAGAGCAACATAATAGTTCACTTCAGTAATGGGAAATGTTTATGCCTCAGGACATTGTTCTGGCCAAGCAAATGCCAAACTAAAGGAACGCTGCCAAAACTAAAAATAATAACGCTCTTGTTCAGTGTCTCATAGCCTTGACCTTAAATTAAAAATACAAGTAATTCCAATTGATTTCATGAGCACAACACAAAATAATAAGTATGTGCATGCTATGAATAATGTGTTACTAGTTCCTAGTCATATCATGTTATTTTTCTTATCCTATCATCTCCCTGATGAGGCTTCTAGTGTAAAGAAGGTATCACTCTGTATAGATAAAGTTGAGTTGATAAGCATGGAAGAGGATATTAGCAACCCTGTTGATAAATGCAAGAATAATACAAAAATAAAATCACTAGGCAAAAGGCTTTCAGAATGGCAATGATGATTGATTGGTTGAGTTGGAATAATAGTGTACTGTATAAGAAAACAAATAAAAAACTAACAAAATCTTAGTTATTTAAAACTTTGCTACCCTGTAATTGACACTATGTGGTGAAACGTTATCCTTACCCTACTGTCTGCAGACTGCACAAATGTTAATAAGAGCTTGAATAAAGTTATCACGAAACAAATGAGGTGCAAATTATTATTCTTTTTATACACAATGGCCTTCTGTGTATATGATTAAAGGAAAGGTAAAAAATAATTACACTGAACAAAAATATAAATGCAACACTTTTGTTTTTGCTCTCATTTTTCATGAGATGAACTCAAAGATCTAAAACATTTTCTACATACACAAAATAACCATTTCTCTCAAATACTGTTCACAAATCTGAAAAAATCTGTGATAGTGAGCACTTCTCGTTTGCCGAGATAATCCATCCCACCTCACAGGTGTGGCATATCAAGATGCTGATTAGACAGCATGATTATTGCACAGGTGTGCCTTAGGCTGGCCACAATAAAAGGCCACTCTAAAATGTTCAGTTTTATCACACAGCACAATGCCACAGATGTCGCAAGTTTTGAGGGAGCGTGCAATTGGCATGCTGACAGCAGGAATGTCCACCAGAGCAGTTGCCTGTGAATTGAATGTTCATTTCTCTACCATAAGCCGTCTCCAAAGGCGTTTCAGAGAATTTGGCAGTACATCCAACCGGCCTCACAACCGCAGACCACGTGTAACCACACCAGCCCAGGACCTCCACATCCAGCATGTTCACCTCAAAGATCGTCTGAGACCAGCCACTCGGACAGCTGCTGCAACAATCGGTTTGCATAACCAAAGAATTTCTGCACAAACTGTCAGAAACCGTCTCAGGGAAGCTCATCTGCATGCTTGTCGTCCTCATCGGGGTCTCGACCTCACTCCGGTTCGTCGTCGTAACCGACTTGAGTGGGCAAATGCTCACATTCAATAGCTTCTGGCACGTTGGAGAGGTGTTCTCTTCACAGATGAATCCCGGTTTTCACTGTTCAGGGCAGATGGCAGACAGCGTGTGGCTGGCCTCCTCTCGCAACAGAGAGTGCAATCTACTATTTCACCATAACTTCTAGAGGGGCACTGTTTCACTCTTTGTAAAATACTCCATGAGAATGGGGGAGAGACGGGCCGGCAGCAACACACAACAAAGAATTTCCGAAACTAAACGAAGTGTTTTTATTTATTAAAATTATAACTACAATCCGAAAAAACAGGGGAAGCCTGGCTTCCCTTGGCCTCCAGGAGAAAACGCCACTGAGTCAGGGTCCTTTTTATTTTACTGTAACTTTGGAAGTTGTGTTACCAATGCTTACTGTTTATCTGGTTTTCGGACCCCCCCAGACCCCCCCAATAAAGCAAAACTGTACGTTTCCGAGTGGCCTTTTATTGTGGCCAGCCTAAGGCACACCTGTGCAATAATCATGCTGTCTAATCAGCATCTTGATATGCCACACCTGTGAGGTGGGATGGATTATCTCGGCAAAGGAGAAGTGCTCACTATCACAGATTTTTTCAGATTTGTGAACAATATTTGAGAGAAATGGTTATTTTGTGTATATAGAAATGTATGTTTTAGATCTTTGAGGTCATCTCATGAAAAATGGGAGCAAAAACAAAAGTGTTGCGTTTATATTTTTGTTCAGTGTATATCTGTGAAGACAGGTTAAAACTATGTTGTGTTAGTTTTATTGTTGTAACACTAATTTTGACCACAAGAGGCTTAAGAGCACCTCTACCACATTTTCTAAATTGAACTTCACAAAAGCATTCATTAATTTTTCCTTCAGGGGAATTTCAGTTTGTCCATGAACTCAAAACACATGGTACATATAGTATGTTGTGTGCAAGCAAGTTATGTCACATGTAATATAACTGTACATGTTATATGCTACTTTTGGTTAGAGGTGTATTTGTATTTGCGCTGATCTGCTCTGGTGCACTTTCACTCCTCATCACAAGGAGTCCTTGAATCAAAACACTTTCTCCCACTCAGATGTAAAGCCAAGGAAAATAATGTTCACTATATGATCAATACTTACATCCTATGAGCATGACACAGATGGAGAAGATCTTCTCAGAGTTGGTGTTTGGGGACACATTTCCAAAGCCCACACTGGTCAGACTGCTGAAGGTGAAGTAGAGAGCTGTGACGTACTTGTCTTTGATAGTGGGTCCTGAACCTGGAGTGGACATTTAGAGTTGTCAATATAAATAAATGAGAGATCCCTGATGATAACACGTTGCATGAGCTCACTAGTACAGACAGATCCACTTCATTATAGCAATATGTTTCCTTTCCTTACCTTGGATGGAGCTGTTGAATGGTTTCCCCAACTGGTCCCCCAGCGTGTGGAGCCATCCAATAGAACCACTCCTCTCTACACTACCAATGGCATACCTGGGAAGAAATCCAAAGTTAACAAGTTGCAATGCGATTGTTTGTATATCATTATTTATGTTAGCAATATTACTAAGCTACAGTATGTAAAATATAAGCAAAATATTTGTTTTTAAAACTCCTAAAAGTTTTGTCTGAATATAAGTTGTTTGATTAATATTGAATCAGAACTCTTGAGGAAATATGTTCTACTTCTCAGTTTCTGCAGTATCAATTTTCTATGATCTCACTTGAGTTGGGATACAATCAACTTGGTGCTTGAACACACAGCATTAGAACATATATGTATACATATCTTTTTTATGGAAGATATGACTTGTATTATTACGACACATGCACCCATACAGTGTATTAGCAGTTCTGAGGTGTGCCGACGGAGACATGATAATTCCCACATTACTCCTCTGGGAATCTTATATGAATCATCAGACAGTCTAATGGCACTGTACCAGATGCAGGCCAGCCAGTGAGCGATGAGGGCGAAGGTGCACATGAGGAGGAAGAGCACAGCCGCGCCATACTCCGAGTAGCGGTCCAACTTCCTGGCCACACGCACCAATCGCAGGAGTCGAGCGGTTTTTAGTAGACCAATTAGAGTGGTGGTCTGATGGGAGTGGGAGAGACAGAGTGTAGGTAGTGGTAATGAGATATTGTAAAGCACGGTACCAAACAGAGTCCCTTAGCTCTGATATCTCCTCACAGATTTCCCACCTGCTGTCACACACACACATTCACACACATTCACACATAGGTGTTGCAGCCATGGTCTTGTCCCAAAGTGAATCACAGTCGTGGAGGTGGTAAATTATGACTGTCTCCTTTCTACTTGTATTCAGCTGGCCCCCTACGTGTCCATACAACAAATACATAACTGGACGATTACTGGCAGAGAGCCTAGTCTTGTGTTGTGTCCTCATAGTAAATAATGCTCCACTTTCTTGGCTCTGTGGCCCCTATGGAGGGTTTCTATGAAGTGAAGCTTGGCTTAGCTTTCTTCGGGCAGTATTTCAACGTAGGGGAGATTCTACATTCATCTTTTTTGTCTTGTAGGGTGGTTTAATCACTATAAATAACTTTTTATCACTGACACCCATCACTTATAGATGGATTTGAAGTACTGCCTGATCTGTCAATGACTCTGGGCTGAGCTGTGGAGTGATGAACCTCGGCCCCAGTGGTTTCCATCCTTATTATGTAGGAAGTATCCTGAGGAGACGGCTGCAGCAACCTACTTACTTCCTCCTTCAACTTCTGACTCCTACCTCTTCCTTCAGACACTTTCCTCCCACGTCCTTAAATTCTCTATATCACTTCTTTATCATCAGCAAGCCATAAAACCTTAGTACCCATACTGGAGACATAAAGTCAAGATATATGGTGCATTTTTTTTTTTTTCCTCGGCCTTGTATATTTCCCCCCCAATTTGATGGAAGTACAATTTTTACAATTCTGGGCTATCCGTATATTCAGCTGATTATTGTTTTTTTATATTGATACATCCTTTATTTATTAGAAAATTATGAAAATAAACTTTAACTTCTGGATATATTCCAAAAAGTGTACTAAAATAAAACGTTTACGAATAATCCCTCAGTCTTTTTTGTTGGTACCAATATATGTAGACTGTGTCTGAAATCCCTTCTTGTTTACTATATACAGTAGTGCATTATATGGACCATCTTCTTTGATTCAGTTCACATGTCTGTTTTTAGTAGTATTAGGAGGTTCAAATTACCCTTGTCGCAATACAGTAGAACTATCAGTGATTACACAAAATGACGGAGATTACTTATTGTCGGAACACTTAATTTACAGCCTACTATTGATTCATCTAGTAAGTGTCTAATACAGTATACCGTAGTGTATGGGCGAAGAGGGAGCAATTGTAAGGCATGAAACTGAGAACAAAATATAACTGCTGATTGTGGAAAAGCCAGAAGTAGAAACTATTTGTTAAATCTCCTTTAACACATTATTGAAACTGTGGATACAATTTTCTCTCAAAACAATCCTCCATTATAAAAAAAAAGTGTTTGAGTTTGCGCACTGCATTGAATGATGCACGGCAGTGACATTTTACTTTGACGCTCAATCGCAGCTGACTGCAAATCGCAGCAATCACATTCTCTCTTTATCCCTTCATCTCTCTAACGCTCCTCTTGTCCTCCCTCACACTTTGTGAACTGTTTACATACCCCCTAACACCTCTCTTTCCCTCCATTATGACGTACCTCCTCTCCGCTGCGGTAGATGAGCAGGTCAAAGGGAATAGCAGCCACCATGTCGATGAGGAACCAGCCCTTAAAGTAGTGGACCGCGATACGCACCGGGTGGCTCACCACCTCATCATTGACGTTCACATATGTTGTCCTGAGTGAAACAGTGTAGATTATAGTCAATTTACTCACATTAATAGTTTCTATAATTAAAAATGTGACATTAGAAAATATAAAAATAGTTGTTTCACTGTTTTTTGAGTTTACTACGATTAAAATGTATCTACTAAATATGCACTAATACTACTCCTGCTATTATACTGTACACTTATTTGTTTGTTTTCTGACCTGAAGTTGATGAGGATGTCAATAATGAACATGATATCCACCATGAGATCCACCACAGTGAGAGGAGAGCAGGAGTAGCCGCAGTTCTGTATGGCTACCTCTTCCTGAGGAGAGGAGAGATCAAAAAGACAGGAGAAAATAATTATAAGCTAACACTCTAAAAATAGAACAGTTCTGTATGGTTATCTCCTTCAAATGGACTAGCATTAGGGGATTCGAGATCATTTGCATACATATTTAGATAATAAATAATAAAGTGACACAGAGACAGGGTTTCCAGTGGGATCCCATCTACAGGGCATCAAAACAAAAAACTGTAGTAAACAAAAGCTACAATAGACTTTGTAATTACAATAGATACATTTCTTAAGCCCCTGTCACACTGTCCCGAAATTGACTCCCGATGGACACACGATTAAGGAAATGTTCAAATTCGGCTCTGATCGTAACAACATCGGGCCATTCGTAAGGGCATCTTAAGCCATCGTACGACCGCCGGTGGAGTTTCTCAGGCTCCGGCAGCAACTTCGGGAGCGGTGGCAACATCTTTGGCATCACAAAGCATTGACGAAGGACCTTGTGAAGGTTCATTTTCGTGTTGACTTCGTTTGTCCATTTTGCCCTTCGTAAGGCATTCGTGAGGGCATCTTAAGCCATCGTATGACCGCCGGTGGAATTTATCAGGCTCCGGCAGCAACTTCGTGAGCGGTGGCAAAATCTTTGGCATGCCAAAGATTTTGCCTAAGATGCCCTCACGAATGGCCCAATGTTGCTACGATCAGAGCCGAATTTGAACATTTCCTTTATCGTGTGTCCATCTGGTTGTTTTATTGCACAACAAAATCATGTAAACATATTATGTAAATAACCCAATTTGTGTTCTGTGAAACTAAAAAGGATATAATATATTATTTTGAGTCGAGGAAGTTGTT